GAATGCCGAACGCCGGTTTCTGAAACCCGAACGCCGGATGGCTTGATTTTTGGTTTGGGCGAACACCAAGTGTTTTTAATGTTTTAAACATGTTTGAAAAACATTTTTATGATGTGTGAAATGCAATGAAAAGAATTTTAGCCTAAAGAGCCAAGGTGTAAAGGTTGGGTCGGTCTTGATCACAATTATGACCGACTCAACAACACTAAGACTACGGTCTTCGTTCTTGGTCTTCTTTTGGGTCTTGTTCTCTTGCTTTCTTCTTATATTTATTTCTCGCCTTGTATATTCAATAACTTGTCTCGTTCACGGCGGTTTGGCATTATCAAAACCTGTCATAAAAACGAACACGGCTTTAGTACGAAAACGTGACAAGCCCGTGTTTCAACATAATCTACAACAAATCCGCTCTTGTTTGAGGAGTATTATCCGCTGTGCAAATTGTTTGTAAGTTGTATTGTTGTAAAAAGCTTGAATTTGAAATAATTCAAGTTTTGGTTTGAAATCCAAAGTCGTGTGAAATCAAGACTTCGGTGGAAAGATTAGAGGCTTGTAAAATCAAGTTCTCGAGTTGTATTCGGATTGTTAAACTCCGTTAAGTTTAACAAGGATTAGTGGAATTTCGGACACGTTTACCATGGGGACTGGACGTAGGCATTAGGCCGAACCAGGATATATCGTTGTCTCTTTGCATTCATTATTTCCATTGTCCTTTTATTTTATTCCTGCACTTTTCTACTTAAAGCCGAAAATTTTATTATTTTCATGAACACCTCTATTCACCCCCCCCTCTAGAGGTATGAAAGGCGTCTAACAATTGGTTTCAGAGCCTATTGTTTTCCATAGTTTTACCGCAGGAAACACGATCATGGCCGGAAGATTATTTCAAGCAGGAATATCCGAGGGACAATCAACTACTCGTCCTCCACTTGTTGACGGAACAAACTATGCTTATTGGAAAGAAAGAATGAGGATATTTGTTCAATCAAACGACTACGACTCTTGGATGGTGATGAAATACGGAGACACTACTCCATACAAAGTTGTTCGTGGAATTCGAGTACCCAAATTGGAATCTGAACTCGATGATGGAGATAAAAAGAATGTGATGCAAAATTCCAAAGCCATCAACTATCTTTATTGTGCGGTCAATCCATATGATTACAAAAAGATTTCACGATGCAAAACCGCAAATGAAATGTGGAAGAAGCTAGAAGTAACTTATGAAGGTACTACTCAAGTGAAGGATGCTAAAGTTGATTTATTACTTCATGAGTACGAATTATTCTCAATGAAAGAGAATGAATGTGTTGATAGTTATTTTAAGAGATTCTCGAATATTATCAATAATCTTGACACACTCGGAAGGCACTACACGGATAATGAGTTAGTTCGGAAAATCTTACGGTGTATGATTCCCGAGTGGAAATCCGAGGTTAGAGCCATTAGTGAAGGAAGGGACTACAACACTTTGACCTATGACACTCTACAGGGAAAGCTACTTACCTATGAATCTTCTACGCTTTATCCTCCGGGAGACAACAAACAAAAGAAGTCCATTGCTCTAAAATCCACCAAGGAGATTGAAGAGGAAAATCAAAATGAAGTGTCAAGTGATGTAGAAGACAATCCCGAACTTTCTCTTGTTATCAAGCGCTTCAACAAATTTGTCAAGAAAAATTTCAAGACTAGAAAGGACAAATCAAAGAAGGCAACACCACCCAAATGCTATGAATGTGGTGAATTGGGACATATCAAGCCCTATTGTCCAACATTGAAGCAAGACAAGGACAAGAAGAACAAGAAGAAACAAAAAGCTTATATTTCTTGGAATAATAGTGGATCATCCTCCGAAGCTAGTGATGATGAGGAAGAAACAGCAAATCTTTGTCTCATGGCAATAGAGGATGAGGTATCATCTAGTTCTTATTCTACTCCTTTATCTACTTCTGATGATTGTTTTTCATTGGATGAGTTACATAGTGCATTTAGTGATCTTTATGGTGAATTTATCAACTCCACCAAAGAAGCTAAATTTGCCAAGGAAAATGTCACCTCTCTTGAAGCCAAATAATCGAACTTAATAAAGAGATGGAATTATTAAAATTGGAGAATAAGAAACTTGGCAAAGTTAGTGTTGATTCACCTTGTGCACAATGTAAAATCCATGAAAAAGAGGTAGCTAGATTGCATGAGCATTTAGGAAAATATAATAAGGCTAGCAAGGATATGCACTTTATAGTTCAACAAGGTCAATATAATAGAAATGGATTAGGATATAAATCTAAGGGACTTAAGAAAATGAACTTCGTAAAAGAAGGAGAAAGACCTTTGGATAAAAATAATTCTAGGGATAATTCAGAACAAAAATTTATTAGTAATCCTAAGAAGACTAAATCTAGAATAGTACATACCTCCACTAATTCTAGGATGGGAAAATCTTATCAATATAGGAATTACGATATTCATAGGTTCATTAGAAAACCTAGACAATCTCCTAGGAATAGACAACCTAGCAACTTTAGGACTTTTAGAAATGGACCTAGACAACCTAGTAATAGGACACATAGAGGCTCATTCAGTCCATATAGATTTATGTATGATCCTAGAGTTGTTTGTCATTATTGTGATCATGTTGGGCACATAGCACCGGTTTGTTTTAGGAAACTTAGAATGATAGCTAAGAATAGGAAGAGGGCACACATTGATGTTTTTGATGCTAGAACTAACCCTCGAGGACCCAAGATGGTTTGGGTACCTAAAAACCCCAATTAAATAATTATTGCAGGTGTGCTTTAAGGCATCAAGTGTACTTTGGTACCTTGATAGCGGATGCTCCAAGCACATGATCGGAGATGCATCCAAATTTGTTTTTCTTAGACTAATTGACGGTGGAAATGTTATATTTGGTGACAACAACAAAGGAAAGATTATTGGAACCGGAAGCGTTGGTAAAAACAAAGAATCCGGAATCGATAACTTGTTGTTGGTCAAAGGCCTCAAACATAATTTGCTTAGTATTAGTCAATTGTGTGACAAACGTAATCGTGTTACTTTTTCTTCTAGTCATTGCATGGTTGAATGCCTTTGTGATAAGAAAGTCATCCTTACTGGCGATCGCATAGATAATATTTATATGATCAACCTAGAAAGTACCTCTTCTGTAACACCCTAATCCGTCAAGGTCTGCAGCCCCTTTCGGACTAAAGTATTAACTTGGTAATCGTAAAATTTAAAACTTTTCAAACACTTTTATTTATCACGATAATATTTTTCATAACATATATAGTGCGGAGTTTTCAATATTGCGGAAGCTTAACAAATGATAATTACAAACATAATTTATTTATGTTCTTTAATTCAAAACCATCACATCCATTCCGACAATCTCGCCTCCGTCAGCCTCCAGAATCACATCACATCATTCTTTCTATTAACCTGCGTGTAGCAAATAAAACATACTACACGCTCAGCGGTGAAGCTGAGTAAGCATATCTAAAGCGTCGAACATCCATATAAATTGAACCCAAATTCATAATCAAATCATTTGATATCATGCACAAAGTATTCAGTTCAAATATACAATAATCAATATTCAAC